TATATATATATATATATATATATATATTAATCCTCCATATTATTTCTAGTTATTCATGCTATCATTGCCTTAAAATACGCTCCGTCGCCTCGAATTTCCCATGCAAATTTCTTTGAGAAAAATTACGATCAATTTTAGGTGACTTAGACATTCCAAATGCAATAATAAAGTCCATTTTGCAATTAGATGTCATTTGGGCAATGTTGATCCTCCATAATATTTCTAGTTATTCATGCTATCATTGCCTTAAAATACGCTCCGTCGCCTCGAATTTCCCATGCAAATTTCTTTGAGAAAAATTACGATCAATTTTAGGTGACTTAGACATTCCAAATGCAATAATAAAGTCCATTTTGCAATTAGATGTCATTTGGGCAATGTTGAGCGATATTTTTGAGCATTGGTCATCGATTTCGTCCATTTTTGTCAGATTTGATTGTAAGGGGCTCCCTCTTAGGTAAATATACCATTTTGTTTGCAATGATGTAGTCCATTTGGCGATCAAAGGTTATTTGAGCACTTTAGTGATGCATAATCTACTTTATTAAATAATAGACTTTGATATTTATAAGATTAGAAATATGCATTGTAGGTGACTTAATCGCCTCGAATTTCCCATGCAAATTTCTTTGTTCAAAATTACCCATTCGACGGGCCAATTATAATTCTGATCCTGATTAAATTGTCTTAAATAGTAATTCTTAAATATTGCATTTTGTCTAACTTCTTAGTCAAAGACTTAATATGTGGTGAAGTTACACTTAACTTGAGTACTATTGCATTTTGTCTGACTTTGAGTCAAAAACTTATAATTACGCTTGCTTTTATATGGTTTATGTTCGGTTAAGAAAGACTTTTGAGTCAAAGACTTACAATTATGCTAGCTTTTGAGTCAAATACTTATAATTCGGCTTGCATTTTGTTTGACTTTTGAGTCAAATTATGTGTCCTACCAAGAACCAAGGGTCTCCACTCAATACACCTCTAGTTCACTTGAAATTAAACAAATCAATAGCACATCCTCTTTAGTTAAATATTGAGAGCATGGAAAGGAAGCCTTCTACCAAGCCTAAAGTATTTACATTTTTACCAGAATTTGAGAACATATCATTGTTCTTCAAAAGGATCATTGACTAGCGCAACAGACTAAAACCTTAATCATTAATATCCTCAGATGAAACAACCTGCTTAGCCATACCAACATAAGTAATGCATTTTACCTTCGAAAAATCACCATGAAAGACCCCTCTTTATAATTAATGCATTTTACAGATATTTATTATTATACCAGTCTTGTTCATAGTTATTGTAGAGTTGTATGGATGTACGAAGCTCTAATACTTTTCAAAAGCATATTGAAACTTGAACTTAGCAACATGCCTGCAACGAGTTAAAATTACATTGACTCACTAAAAAAAAACGAAGTTAAATTGACTCAAGGTTGCATTGTTTGAAAAAAAAGTTATATTGACTCATGCTTAAATTGATTGAGTAAAAGTTACATTGACTCAAAGTGACATTTACTCACAGCTATATTTACTTACGGTGAACGCTGCAATAAAATTAAGGAAAATCACTATGACAAACAAGATTTTTATTTGTAACAGCTTAGTTCTAACTAAAGCAACATGCATTGTATTGCTTTCAGCAATAGTTGAACTTCGGTAATTGCTATCATACATCAATTCATTAACTTCATCACACCATCAAAAATAATGGTAGTCATCTTCTGATCTATTCCGGGAGCATCTATAAAATTTTCTTCCTCTACTACGCGATTGGTATGATGTAAATATCGTACATTTTAAGTTGTAATGATAATATATTTGATTACTTAGATTTATGATTGGTGTTGCCAAGGAACTCAAACTCATTATAGATTGCCTTCATAAAATACACCTTTGAAAAAATGAAAGAAAATGAAGACATGAGAAGTAAACAATTGCTTTCACATTCCATTCATTCAGAAAATACACCTCCATAAAAAAAGATCATTTCAGATTCTACCAAAAGCTGTTGCCTTGGCATTTCAATAAACATCAATTGTAAATCTCTACTTTTACAAACACAACATAGTGAATGAAGACATGAGAAGTTTACCCTAAACAACTAATGGAGAAGATGAACATTAACAATAAAAACTAAAAATTGAGTATAAATATGTTACAAGAAGAATTGGAAAGAAGAAGAAAAACAAAAAAATCATACATTGTTGGCCTAAGATTGTCGACCTAAGAAACAACCTAGCGTGTGAAATAGTTGAACAGGGGGAAAGGTGAAATCACTGGAGAAGTCATGACTTCGGATTGGGAAAAGGCGAACGGGGTGGAGGGGTGAATGAGACGAAAGGGGGAACAAGACGAAGAGGCGAACGGACTGAAGACGAAATGCTATAATAGATTTAAAATGAGTGTTTTAGGTGGTATATTAGTAAATAGATTAGTTTAGGTGTTAAATATGTATTTTCAACAAATTTAGGGTTAGGTTTGTAAAAACCGCAAATTTTACTATTATAAATTTATATATTATATTATATATTATTCATATAAATATATTTAATTATGAATACATAAATATATTATTCCTAAATGATATTTATATTTATAAAATTTTATTATAAATTTTTAAAATTTTATAAATATTATTAAATGCTCATATATTTATATTTAGTGGTGGAGACAAAAAATTTATTAAGGGGCATACATTATTTTAGTAAAATCTCATCAAATCGTATATCTATGATATAAGTATCCAATTTATAATTTCTAAACCCAATTTTTTTTTGGTGGGTGGGGGGGCATGCCCACCTTCATCCGCCTTTGTTTATATTATATTAATGACCATAATTTTTTAATATTATAAATTTAATTATTATATTAAATATTATTCTTATAAATATAAATATATCCTTATAAATATATTATTCTTAAATATTATTTATATTTATAAAATTTTATTATATTTTAAAAAATTTATAAATATTATTAAATATTCATATATTTATGTTATATTACCTTAATTTTATTAACTTTTAATAATATTATTATTTATTAGATTCGATCGATAACCTCTCATTTTTCGATTCGTTGTCAAATCGAATTTTGACATCCTTGATTTTTACTATATATATATATATATATTATCAAAATATATATGAACCACCCAAGCCGAGCATGACTACCGGCCAATCTGCCATGGCAGCTCGTCACATAGTAGATGGTCAACCACGGCGACGGCCTCCCCAGGGACGACCACGAAAACCTCACTATTTAAAAATGTTATCACCTCTCTCCCGTCGTCTGCAAACTATCCATCTCTGTTCAGCGTTCGCTACTTTTCAGCAAAGGTGAAGCAAAATGTTTTTGAAATTGAGGTCTCTTCCCCTTGTTAAATTTTACGAACTTTTTTTTTTTTTTTTTTTTTTTTTTTTTGTATTTTGTTCTTTTTTTTTGCTTAATTTTGTTGTATTTTGTTCTCTTGTCATAAGATAAAGGTCCAGTGTTTGCACATCTGTTAGATTTGGTTTGTTTATGATTAAGTACTCATGTTTTGGGTTTCTTGGAGATTCTTCGTTCGTTCGTTTGACTTAAGCTATTTTAATGTTTCGACACATGAACTTGTCATTTAGGGTTTTATTTACCATTTTAGTTATACTCCGAAGTAGTGAATAGACGGAAGATTCAAATTTGGCAGACAATGTAGTGTCCTATCACCAGTGAACACGAGAGGTGTTTGATATCTTTTCACATACCTCCATCAAAATCTTACTGTAAGTTACTAGGGATTGATTCACTAGCATTGTTTTCTAGAGACGTGAAGTTATATGGGATCCTTACAATGCAAATATCTTATTTGCAAAAATTTTACGTGAATTACCTTACTAAATTAATGGAAATTTGTTTTATATTAGTTAGCAGAAAGTTTAATTTCGAATTAATTATGATTTTAAATTCCTATGTGGGATCATACAAAAGTAAGTGTGATAAATCCAATTAAACGATTAAGAAGTTTAAACATCAAAGAAGGGGGTGCAATTTTCATATAAATAGAAGAATAATTTTTGGTCCCTTTGGATCTATGAAACTCCGCCATTGATTTTGATGATGAATGACCTTGCTGCACTTCAATACCAATTTATGAGGTTTTTCACTATAGTATATCACCACAATTTGCCCAGGGAAAACCCCCACAAAAGGGAGTATGATTATATGATACTACAAATGCCTTTGTTTCATCGAGGAAATTCCAACTTTGATGTTATAGAAATCGGTCATGATAGAAACTAGCATAAATAATATCTTAAGAATTTTTTTTTTAAGGAGTAGTCTAATATATTATAATTGCTTATATCCTCAAAGTTATGTTTCATATTCTTGCGACTTGATGATTTCTTATTTGCTCAACAACTTTTGCTTGGCCTGATAGATTGAATTAGGGTTTAGAATGTTACTGCATGTGTAGTTCTTACTGTTTTATGGGGCTACTCTAGAATATTAGAAAATCTTTTGCTTTTCTAAATAATTTTGTTCATATGTTTTTTGGGAATATTTTGAATCTTTTGGAATATTGGAGAATGTTTGCACTATTTCAATAGAAGGGGACTAGGTGTATAATTTTATTATTTCATACAACTTTTCATTGTGTTTTGAACTTTTGTTTTTAATTACTTATTCTTAGAAGTTGAAGTTTGATTCTTTGCTTTCCTTTTTTAATAACCATTTTTTCTTGATGCATAAAGTCTTAACATTTTGTCATTTATGTTATATAAACATGATTGAGTATAGATACGAATAAAACATTATTTGCTAGGAGGAAAGATTATGGATTTGAGTTTTTTAGCCTTGTTGCATGCCGGAACATTTGTGATGGTAGAGATTGAGAGTTTAATGTCATAGCTTCATACGAAGAACCAACATACATATAAAAGAGAGAGAGAGACTATAGTCGGTCAAAAAAAGGTTTTGCATTATCGGATGAGCGAAGGTTTGATGGCGGCGGCTAGGCAGAGATTCGGTGATGGTAGCCCAGTGGAGACCCGACGGTAGCAGTAGGGTGGTGATGCTTGACGGTGGCCGGGTGGCACAATGCCGGAGGCGGTCGGCCTGCCAGATTTTGCTGGTGCCAGTCAATCGGCGAAGGTTTGATGATGGTAGCTGAGCAGAGGTCCGACGGCGATGACCGAGTGGAGTTCCAACGGTAGTGGCCTAGTGGTGAGGAGTCGCCGGTGGTGATGCTCGGGTGGAGTCAAGGATTCTTCAAGTATCTTAGCTCTCTTGAATCTCTAGCCAAGGGTTCAAGCATTTCAAGTCTTAAGCCCCCTTTCATGCATGGAGGGTCTATTTATAGATTTTTGAGAGTTGCATGCCATGCAAATATGGAGAAAATTTGTAGCAAATTCAAAATGCTTCATCAGACAACCCATGTTGATTTCCTTGATTATAAAATGTTCATTCAACATTTAAATGCCTTAATGATATCAGAATCGAGCGATCTTGGGCCTGATGGATATGTCTTGTCGAGTCGATCGATTCGAATATAAGCATGCCATATTTAGAGGTCATTTCATCATCCAATTAATGTCCCAAAGTTTCTAACTGGGCTTCGGGTCATTGACTTCGGCTTATTGCGGCTCAAATTGAACTATTTTTATTGTTGTTGGGTTCATCTCGTTGAGACATCTAGTTTGACTATAAGTTGGCTAAAATTAGAATTAGGACGGTTCCAAGCTTAATTCTAGAAGTTTTTAATTTGAATATGCCTTGAGATTTGCGCCTGATTAAGGTGATGTTTTGGTGATGTATCAAGTCTAATGATCCCTTCATAATGTTACCATTTTCCACTATTATGATTAAAATTCTTCTGTTGCCTCTTGGTGTGAAGATGGTGAATTAATGCAACATAGCAATACTCAGAATATTGCAAATATGCTGACGTACACACAATTGTTGGCATCTTTCATTTTGTAAAAATCATTATAAACATCTTATACTTTATTTGTTTTAAGAAACAGGTTTTAACTTTCTACTAGCTCTTTCTGTTCAAGTCATGGAGTCTTTGAAAACACGTTCAATGGCTCAAGCTTCCCGCACTTGGGTGTCAAAGACTGGTGCTTTCGTCCCCACCCCTTCAACTATTCGTAATTTTATTTCGAAAGATCAGACATCCCAGTTTCCCGCAGAATCTGGAAGATACCATCTTTATTTATCTTATGCATGCCCGTGGGCATCTAGGTGTCTAGCAATTTTGAAACTCAAAGGGCTTCAAAAGGCCATCAGTTACACGGTGACTTATTCTCTTCGATAGACTATTTATACTTTTAATTTCTATAATTACATCTTAATCTCATTTACATATAATTATATAGGTGGTCAAACCATTATTTGAAAGGACCAAGGAGACTGATGAGCATTTTGGATGGGTCTTTCCTGCTTCCAGCACAGAAGAAGTTGGGGCTGATCCTGATCATTTGAATGGAGCCAAGAGTGTCAGGGAACTGTATGAGCTTGGAAGCTCAAATTATTCGGGAAGATATTCTGTCCCTGTGCGTATATGATATTATAGTTTCTTGTTCTTTTGCATCTATTTCCTGCAAGAATTTTACACCAGTGAGTTAGTTTTGTAGTTATGTAACAGGTTCTTTGGGATAAAAAACTCAAAAAAATTGTAAATAATGAGAGCTCAGAAATAATCCGCATGTTCAACACAGAATTCAATGAAATAGCGGAAAATGCTGATTTGGACTTGTACCCCTCTCACCTACGAGCAGTAATTGATGAAGTCAATGAATGGGTTTTTGATGCGATAAACTATGGTGTTTATAAGTGTGGGTTTGCCATAAAACAAGGGCCTTATGATGAGGTAATGTTTTTCTTATACATTTAAATGATATTTGGGTTTTTTTCTGACTTTTATGTTGCACTTTCACTTAGGCCGTTATCAAGTTATATGATGTCTTAGACAAATGCGAGGACATACTGAGCAAGCAACGTTATATTTGTGGGAATGAATTCACAGAAGCTGATATTCGTCTTTTCGTAACTTTGATAAGGTTTGATGAGGTAAGGATCTTCATGGCCTTTTGTTTGTCAGCATTCATTATTGCAAGTGGCGAGAACAAGGGCTTGCGAATTTTTAACTAATGCCATATCACTAAAACACTTTTTGTTACTTGCAGCGGAGAACTGCATTACAAAATTGGTGTTTCTGATGTTCTTTATTTATTGAAATGTATGCATAGAAAACAACGTTAATTTGTGGTTGCACACAGTGACACATGAACTAATTGAATTTTCCTTGTACCCATTACTCACCAATAAAACACAACATACAACACACAACACAGGACAAAGTATATCAAACTAAAATTACAATGCGTAGATATAACCTATGTCCTCCATATCCTCTAATGACCCTATCAACATTGACTTTATCCCAACTACTTTTTATCGAATTTGTTGCTGACACAACATGAGACAGATACAGGGCATGTCAATTATTGAAAATATAGGACATTGACATAGGTTAGACACGGTATTAAAATTTTTATATAAAAATAGTGTATAAAAATTGAATTAAGCAAAATATTAAGAATAATTGAGAAATAATAAGTAATTAATTAGGATTTGTGCTTAAAATAAATAATATAAGGATGTCAAGAGTTGGACATTGAGGCATTGAGAGGGGAGGCGACTTTCAACAATTGGGCATCATTGTTATATAATGACGTCGAGCATTGATGTCAAGGAGGCGTGGCGTTGGTCATTGGTCTCGACATTGCGTCAGTCGTCGATCTTGAGATGACATCGCTTGTCTATGTTAAGTTGACATTGGATAAAGTTGAGATGCCTATATGGCGTGGGGCGTGATTGTGGGTGTAGAAATTATTTGCATCGAACGTAAATGTCAACACAATGTCAAACTTTGATTTTGAGATGTCATCATTTGTCAATGTCAAGACGACATTGGATAAAGACTAGATGTCCTAATGGCAGGGAGGTATGATTATGGGTGTAGAAATTATTGGCATAGAATGTAAATGTCAGCACAATGTTAAACTTTGATTTTGAGAGAATTTTTAAATACTGATGTT